CTTTCACCGCCGATCAGCGCGCTGTTAATGACACTATCACTCCATCCATATTCAATGTTGCTGATGCCTCCTACCAGTGGTTGCTTGGATAGTCGCGCGCTCCAGTAATTGGCCGTGGAAACAAATTCTCGGACAATCTCAGGCGTTCCAGCTTGGAAGAGATGAACCGCCCCGGTAGGCAAACTCAGGGCCCAAACATGAGGACGAGACTTGGAGTATCCAGGCGACGGTAAGGCACTAGCGATAGTTTGACGCAGCATAAACTTCCAAAGCTCTTCTGCATTTTCTGTCCAGTTACCGCCACCGACTATAACGCCTCCGGGGTGCTTAGCCTTTTGCCGCATCGACTTGGTGGAGTTATTGAACGAGAAAAGGCGCATCCAGCCTTGCTGTATGACCGCAAAACAGTCATTCCAGTTCCGGTCCTTCGCCCGCTTGTCCACCGCGTCTAGGTGATGCTTATGCTTTAAGCTTCCCTCCTTAGCCCACGGGGCTCCGGCTAGAGCCAGCGTGTCATCTTCAAGCAGAGGGGTCGTTCGCTCGGGCTCCTCATAGCTGTATACCGAGGGAGCAGAGTCCTCCCTAATGATGGCCTGGCTCAGAGCATTGGCAAACCCGATAGATTGCTGGTATTCGCCACGAGGGAAGTCTGAGCCAAAAGAGTCCACAGACGCTGAAGTGAACTTGCCCAAGGAATATTTACTCCAGGTACTAGACCCAGTCGGACTCCAGACAGATGATTGGTCATCTAGGCTGGTACGGCTGGAGCCCATCATCGACGGAGGGTAAAGCCTCCCAGCCCGGGAGCGGGGTTTGGATGACCATCGCGCAGCTCCATGGTTTGAATTAGCAGAACGACCGCGAGGGAAGATATCAGAACCACTCTTGCTAATTGTGCTGGGACTCCTACGGAGAGTACCGCTGGAGGGGCCTAAAAAGTTGTTGGACGACATGCGAGATACTTCACGTTCTGGCTGAGCACCGAACAGTGGCAACTTTTGTTTTTGGATGGAGGTGTAGAATTCCTTCAGAACCGTTTCAACCTGTTGCTCCCAGGCTCTCACTGTTCCAGTGAATGGCGTGTTAACCAAAGGCCCAGCATCCACATTGGCATCACCCTCGTTGTCAAACGAGCTGTGGGTGACCTCTGGAGGAAAAGTTGCAGATCGTGCCGATGCAGGAGCAGAGTGCGCTTCATGGGGTTGGGTCTTGGAGCGATTGGTTGGACGCAATGTCTCAAATCCTTCCGGTGCGGCATCCATTGCCACTCGATGGATAGTGGGCATGGTATTTCGAACGAATTGGGATTTAGTCATTTTTGAATCGATGTCAGCCAAGTGCAGATCGGTGTTTAGGAGCAAAATAGAATAGCAAATAGTATGGACAACATCAGTAGCTTTGAAGCCATGACTCGGGTTGCAATCGCACCATCTAGTCGAAAAGGCATCCAGCACCCGATCCACTTGTTGGGTTTCTCCCTTGAGCACCAAACGATCACAAAGAGACCGAAGCGAGGCAACAATGTTAAGATTAGACCAGTTGTACAGTCGCATATATGCTTCGCGAACCATTGCCCGATCAGGGTCACCCAGCCAAGCGGCAGCAGGCTCGTTGCCTACCACCTGATCCTGGCTGTCGAAGAGCCTTTGAGCTTGTTCTCGGTCTGCAGCTGTGGGGCCATCTTCAATAGCTTCGCCAGGTCCATCTGTCTGATCCTCGGTGTCATCATCTGGTTGAGACTCTTCCTGCTCAATAAGTGGGGTGTTCGCAGCAGTCTGATAGTTTGATGCCGTTGATATAGAATCAACGGGAGATTCACAAAGCCTGTCCTCAGATGGAAGAGCTAATCTGGCTATGTTGATTTGAGGAATATCGACCTGTGGTTTGATTCTGCGCGAGAAATCTTCGGCAACGGGGGACAGAGTAGCAGAAGCAGAAACGTTCTGAGACTTCTCCTGTAAAATAATGTCTGTGGAGACTTCGCCATTCGAGGATCGATCCTTCTCTGCAAGGGGCAAGATATCTTGGCCACGAGAGGCAGCAGAGGGCTGAGGAGAAGGCTTCGTTTTGGGAGCCCCAGGAGCTGAAACACTTTCTCTTTTCTTCTGTGCCTGCAAAAATGCCGGTTGTCGAATTTTAGCCTCCCAGTCTGCATTTTCTTTGTGGTCTAATTCTTCGTCGAGGTAAGGATTCATGACCTGCCGCAGGCTGCTCACAGGACTTGGAGCCGCCATAATATCTATGGTCTGTGGTGCAAGATGTTGGGGGATTACAATTGGTGGAGGCGCATGGTCAGGCACCGATCTCTTCCGTCTGCGGAAGAACGAAGATTTCTTATTCACAACCTGATGGGGCCCTGGGCGTGGTGACGGAGAAGCACCTGCAGAGCTCTTGACTGTCTGCTGAGGTCGTGCCTTTGGGCTGGCAGTCCCATTGGTTTCTCTCCTCTCGGTTTCTTGTAGGTGTGATGGATCGGTGGCATTTATACTTGCCGCATCCGCCGGTCCAGGGGACGGATACTTAGATCCAAAGACACGCCGGAAGAAACCTGGGCGTTCTTTTGTGCTCGGAGCAGGATGGTTGGTGGAGACGTTGGTTGAGATTGTGGTAGCTGCGGTTGGTTCTGGGGGAGGAAAAGCCGGCTTGTTATAGGAGATAGTTGGGCTTGGAGCAGGAGGGTCCAACGATGCCGTGATGGCCGGAGGGGGGTCAAGCTCCGTATCATCCATATTTTGGAAGTCATTGTCCCGAGCTCTGATGGTCCCCGTACCAATGTTTTCAGGCCGAACCTTTCGAACCTGAGGGGGAAGAGCAGATTTTATACTATTCCGTCGCGATGCTACCGGCGTCCGCGCGGCAGCGGTTGTTGGTGTCCTACTATAATCGTGAACCTTCCGCGGTCCCGCTGGGATACTCGGAGTAGGTGCAGCATCGTGATCGTCGTACAGCGTTGAGTCCTGACCGACACTGGAATCGGCATAAGGTGCGAACGCTCGCTTTGGTCCACAATCGAAGCTGGCTGAGCGTCGGCCCAAGCCTTGATCCGTTCGTGCTCTGGGAATTGTATATGAGTAGTCCGCGGCGGAGGATGAGCTTCCTTTACTGCCTTTTCGGGCAGTGTTTGTTCGTGGCATGGTTCCGGTACCACCGCGCGAGCTTCCCATCTGCCTCGGTGTTGTCTGGTGATTAGAGCTACTGTTGCTGCGCCGGCCCTTGGTCGCCATGATTGTTGCGTAGCGGCCATTCCCATCTTCGTATCCATAGTCTAGTTCTGAGGACATTGATGAGGAGAATGTGTGCCCGCGGTATCGGCCGTGTGAATCGGATTCTTGGGAGTAATGACTGTGATGGTCGGTTTCGAATGCGGAATTGAAAAGACGGTAGTCGTCTAGAACAGATGAACTAGGGGCGAATTGATCGAGCGAAAGAAGCATGTTGTCGACGATTGACGTCCGTGTAGCATGTTGCGGGGATAGAGACAAATCATGCGGGTCTCGATCATCTCCCGACTCACTAGTTGTCGTGGGATTATCCATGACGTCTGGGAAAGCATCACGGATGGATGCTCGAGCTGGGTATCCACGCTTGGAGGGATTGTATCTCGCAGTTTGGGAGGGAGGTGTATGGGGGAGGAGAGTGTGCTCCCCGTTGGGACATTATTGCGCTAACAGAAGTCAATTGTTGTATTCCAGGCTGATCATTCCCATCCACACGAGGGGAAGGGTAGGATCATTGTAGCATAATATGGAACCAGGGGAATCAGGTCTGCTGCGACGTACCTGATATCTTGCAGGTCTCACAAAGTGATTTGGGGAGGGGGTTCTGGATAAACTGATGGTCTCAACCTGCAGTATCCGATTTGACGGATTGAAGGGTAATTCACTTGGTCATTGTCCCACAAAGCAAGGGATGTAAGAGGGGAAAAAAAAGACCCAAAAAAAAGGAATGTAAAAGGTTGGTAACAGGGCCGAGTAATGCAGAGAGACAAGAAACCGGTGGAACGAGAACTCCTGAGAGTCGGAGGTTTGACGGGAACTTTTAAACTCCGGTGAACGGTGGGACTTGTATTTTTCTTTTTGGTGTTTCTTTTTTTTTTTTAACAATATACATATGTAGGTATGAAAAAGATCATGGATACATACGGAGGATTGAATAAGAGAGGTTGCAATATATGATGAAACTGAATAGAAATGCATGTGCCAGGGGGAATTACTGCTTTTTCGGATATGCCAACGCATCGATTCAGGGGTTTCATTTATACATTGTATATATTATTATATATTAAGTGTATGCTTATATACTCTCATTTGAGTTATCTATACCATTACATTATAATTATATCATACAAATATAATATATATCAATATTACAGAGTACATGTCTTATAATCCCTTCTCATACAATATACAATTCCGTTATATAAAAGTACACAAGTGGAGCCGTGGGGGGATGGAGCTACTTTATATCGGATGTTGACTTCCGTAGAGAAATACTCTGTACAGATATACAAATATAGAGATACTTAAATAGTTGACTATGTGTGCATCACCAAATATGAATGTCAGGCTTGTAGGGATGTACTCCTGTATTGACATTATGGTTATCTATCCATTTGGACTACTCCGTACGTATCTATCCTTTAGCCCCTTGCAGAGTGGATTACATCTGTATGTACTCCGTACGGAGTACATAGAACCCTTTTCCGGCGGGAATGACACTTGTTCGGAAGATACATGAGTTAAGATCTATCTAAACATCAAACCCGAATAGATAAGAGTACGTTATCCGGAATAGTGTGCTGGAAACACATAATAATACTATTACTATGTCAGTACTCCGTATGAGATCAAATAACAGAGCCGGGATATGTCTAACACGTGACCAAGATGACATAACCGGGCCCCAACTTGCATCGGATACACGTACAACAACCTTGGAACCGGACTGCATTGTGTATGCTCCGAGACTGATTTCCCTTCTCGAAAACGGGGTCTAAGATCATGAACCCTCACATCTCCGTCCCCCGCCAACATGCCGGCCCTGCCAACTTCGGTTCAACGCCCGCAACCCGGTCTAGTGTCCGCATGCCGCGCTTCTTCAAGAGGTAGGACCCAAAGAACCTCGACATGAGAAAAAATCACTGATGTGGGACAGGCTCTTCAAATTTCCACAAATGGACTTTGAGATGGCCATTTGGGAAATGACATCCTTGTTGATCGCACCCAAGAAGGTCTTCAAATCGATATACTACCATGTAAGTGTCCTTGACTACCCTGACTTGACTAGCTGGGCCCTCGAACTATGCTGACCATGCCCCCTCCCCCGGATCTAGAAACGTGAGTCTACCTATTACAAGCGCGGGTCATGCCTCGATCAAACAAGCACATATAATCCTTGGCAATGGCAGTTACTGTGGCCCTAACTGAGCAGCTATTGACACCCGAGAACAGAAACCAAAAACACATGGCACCGGCCTGATCCATCATTCACCTACTTACTATCATTCTTCCTCCTCCTCACAGCCTTCGCATGGGGCCTCGCTTATAGGCCGGGCTTCGGTGCAATCATACGCCTCACCTTCCTCTTCGTGTTCGTGCATTTCATCGGCTCCTCACTACTCGTCTCAACAATTGGGTACTTTATCATTGGCCGTCTATTCGGTCCAAATGGAGCTGCCGCCTCTCTGGCTGGCCTGCGGGGCTCTCGTGGCCGAAGACGAGGTGCTGCCCAGGGATTGTTTACACAGCCAGGGGAGAAAGAGCAATTGGAGTTTGGATATTGTTTTGATGTAAGACTTTCTACCACAAATACTGTGGAACTTCTGACCTTCTGACCTTCTGACGCTATCCTTGTATAGGTATCCAACCGGGCCTTCTTTCCTCTCTATCTCCACCTCTACGTGGTGCAGTTCCTGCTTCTGCCGCTCCTCACCCGTAGCCCGAGCGATTTCCTGGCTACTTTCCTCGGAAACTCGCTCTATCTCTCTGCTCTCATTTACTACACCTATATCACATTCCTAGGGTACAATGCTCTTCCCTTCTTGCACAACACAGAACTTCTACTTGTGCCCATCCTCATATTCGCCGTTATGTGGCTAGTCAGCTTGATTGCCGGTTGGGGCATTGTCATGCAAGGCCACAGCGTTAAAGGGTTGTTTTGGGGGGTGTGAAGTATCAAGCTTCCCCTCAGGTAGACCTCTTTTTCCTGGCTATCTTTTCTGCCCCTGGGATTTCAATCCCGTGTATGAAACTCGAAATATGTTTTTGCCCTTTGACTTTTTTTTTTTCCAGACCGGCTCATGCATTTCCCAGGAAGGCCAGCCCAAAACTGAGGTGTTTCTCTAATGCTATGGGGGCGTCGGTGTACATGATTTCCATTTACATGATTGGGCGTATTTTCTACTGCCCGAGTGATTCCAGATATTCAATGTGAGGAATATCTCAAACTGTTTGCTTTGTTTTTTGTTTTTTTGTTGTCTAGATGTGTAAACAACAATTCGACCCAAGTCATGACCAACATATAAAACGATATCCAGGGGTTTATTTCTTCTTTCCACCAACTTTCTTAGCAGTCTTTCCCGAAGCTGCGGCGCGCATACGGTCCTCCCGCTCCTTTGCGGCATCAGCACGCTCCTTGGCTTGCTCGTCCTTCTCCTCTTTCTCTGCCAACTTGCGTAGGCGTTCCGCCTCACGCTGCTCACGGATAATGGCAAGACGAGCCAGATCCGCCTTCGCCTCATCGGTCTTACCCTCGGCGTGCAGCTTCTGGTAACGCTCACGGGCCTGCTGGGCCTGGACAGCCTCCCGTTCACGTCGGGACAACTGTGAGATATCCTTGACCTTGGCGGGCTTCTTGGGCTCAGCAGCGGGCTCTTCGACGTTCTTCAGGGTCTGCGAGCGGGACTTGGCAGTGTGGTTGGGGTTGGCGGGGAGATCGTTGTCGGATTCTTCCGAGTCTGAAGGGGGTAAATCGCCCGGTTGGGCGGGTCCTTGGCCTCGCTTCTTCAATGCGGCTGCCTTCTTAGCTTTAGCAGCTGCGCGGCGCTCCTCGCGGGTTCCAGCAGCTGTGGATTGCTCGATAGGCTTGGACTCGTCCTCGCTGGATTCCTCGGAACTTTCTTCTTCAGACGAAGAATCTTCGTCGCCCGATGACTTGATTTGGTCACCAGGTTCCTATGAAAGAAATAACGTGGTCAGGTTGCTGTTGTGGAGATTGAGTTGGGATTGAAGTCGACATACCCGCCAGAGACCCATTTGGTTTCCATCCTTGTCTAATGGCTGGAGATCTCTGCTGAAGTGCTTGCCTCCTATTCATTATTTGATCAGCTTTCAGGTATCTCGTACTCTGCAGACGCACACGACATACCTCCTCGAGTAGGCTTGGAGAACTTTCCTCCTCGACCACGGGGTGCCATATTGATATGTAGGAAATATTTAAGAACTTTGAAAGAAGGCTCGGGTAATGGATATTTCTCTATATTGAGAACGAGTTAGCAATGTTCAATGTTTTCATGGGGTTTCGCCAGTTTCGCACACAATAGAGGGGCAAAGGTGGGATGTTGCTTCAAAGTTCGCCAGAATAGAATCCCCGACAAATAAAAGGATCAAAAGGACCTACCTAAATGAATACAAAGTATTGCAAAGACCTCAAAAATGTATAGAAGATAAACCAAATTGAGAAAAGTTCGGAGTTCACCCCCCGTCACCGTCACGAGTCACCGCGAGTCACCGCGCTCGCATTAATCACATGTGGGGTTTTCTCTCGTCAAACCACAACTCGTTGATTTGTTACTTTGTTACCCATGTCGATGATCATGATCATTATATATCTATATTAATATATGAATATATACATATACTCTATACTATCTGGATTTTTTTTTTTTTTTTCAAACTCGAGCCAATCCAGTGCCCACTTTGGTCACTCGAGCTCCAACCAAGGTCAATCCGCCAAGCAAGATCGCAGATCCCATGAACATCTGGGCATACAGGTAGCCGCCATCATCACGAACAACTAGTTCACCAGCAATAGGAGACCCTATAAGGGCTGCCACTGCGACCACACTGAGCACCATACCCATCCGGACACCAATCTTCTTCATATCAGTCGTGAGGGTGCTGAGGGTTGCTGGGAACAAGGATTGAATACCCGCAGCAAAAAGTCCATAAAAGGTGGCAAATGTCCACAGCCCAGACATACCGTTGACTGCTGCCCAGCAGTAGCCAACCAAGGCTGTCGCAAAACTGAACGGGATCAACAGGTTGAGAGGACCGGTGTACCGATCAGCAAGCAGGTTGGGGACCAACCGCCCGACCAACCCAACTCCATTCATGACTAGGAGTAAATCAATGGATCGATCGCTTGAAACACCGATGATGTTACGACTGAAACTGCCAATGTAGAAAAACCCAACATACAGGCCCCAGAAGTTCATGAACATGCCAATCGCAAACAGCAAGTAGGGCAGCTCGGTGAAGGCAGCCCACTCGACAATTGGACCACTCTTGCGTGGAGGAAGACGCTGCTTGAGGAACAGGACACACGGAGTCAGCGTGGCTACCGAGATAAAGCCCAACGTCCGTATGGTCCACCCATACCCGACCTGTGGCAGCATTTTCATGATCACGGCCGGGAAGACTAGACCCCCCGTGGCAGAACCCGACGCAACGATTCCAATTGCGATACCGCGGTTCTTGGCGAAATAAGTCGAGACCAAAGCCAAGGTTGGGCAGAACATGAGCCCACACCCAATTCCTTGGCCAACCCCCTGTGCCAGGAACAGCTGCCAGTACTTGGTGCAGAGCGAGGTCATGAAAATACTGAAGCATTCCAAGATAGCACCGCAGGCCAGAGTAAATGTGAAATAGCCGGCATCGGTGGCCCTACCGGAGAAAGTGCCAATAAAAAACAACAAAAAGATCTGGATACTCCCAACCCACGAGATATCCGAAGGTGGATGTCCTAGTGTCTGGGAATAATATGTTTGGAAGACACCAAAGCTATTGATGTAGCCCCATGTATTGAAGATGACGAAGTGTGCGAGAGCAACCTGAGACCAAGCCTGAAATCCCCCGTCCGGGGGTGGGCCGAGATCTTTGCCAGATTCCCGAGTGCGCACCGCCGATAATGTGCGATTCAAGGCGCTGGTGTTGGTAGGCATGTGGGAAAGGTTGGGTTCATCACCGATAGTTGATTCTTCATCTGAGGAGTGGGGAGTTTGGCTTTGATCTATGTTCTTTTCGTTGACTTGTTCTTGACCATGTTCTTCGGTCATACTTGGTGAGAGATCGGAGACCATATTAAAAGTTGACATGGTATATCTCCTTAAGATGCCTTGTAAATGCAGGACTTATAACAAAATAATTTTTCCAATGAGTCAAAAATCAAAACGGAAATTTTCTTATAACGGGGATCGTTCCGATCGTCTTCTCGCCGATTCGCAGAGATGGCCGCGCCCTTCGGATGGCATACGGGTCCACTTCCGACTGAGCATATCTTTTATGTTCTATGTGCCCATGTATGTGAGGTGGTGAGGTGGTGATATGGTGATGTGGTTTTGTGGTTTATATAGATAGGATCTGATATCTGATTTTATTAGTACAATCTTAGTCTTTTGTAGAGTTGGTATGGGGTGTATATCGGTAAGAAGTGGTATAGTATATCCCCGCTATTTCTCATCTTTCTCTCGCCCTTTTGCTAAATTGAATAGCCTTTGATATCTAATTTATATAGCTATACTATCTACTACCTAGGTATATATCTTACATTGACCCCACACTCACTTGATATGGCGCAATCCCGGGGTCCCCGCAAAACCGGCTGTCTCGGATAGTTTACACATTCTATCTTGTTAGAGAAGGATATAAAACTTCACGAAATTCAATAGCTATCTTTCTAACATGTACATACATGTGAGTCTATACAAAAAAAAAAATATGGCCAAGGACCTGTCTTAGGGGGAGGGGGTAAAAACAGGAGAGCATAAACCCACGCCAAACAAGCTAACACAATGGCAAGAGGTAACGCTCGTATAACCTTTGAACCAGTTCAGAGTCTTTGATATGAGGGCTAATAGTCCTCTAGCAATAGATCAAACCATCTTCAAGACCGTGTGGTGATAATTCCCTCGCGGAGTCGGAATCTGAAACGGATGCCACGGCCAGACTCCCCGGAGCATGGCGTATACGTTGGCTGTGGCGGGTAATTATGGGTTTGTTGGTCCAGAATATGCAAATCTCAGTGATCTTGGTTGGAAGTGCTAAAAAGCATCTGAATTGATCCAATAACATCGGCCGGTTCCAATAAATGCCAGCTGGCATCGGTCTGCTTGGAGCTGGCACCCACCGTAACTGAGTAAACGTGGTCGCGTGGTAGATCAAACTTCTTGAGGGCTCGGAACATATCTAAATTGCATGTCAATCCACTGGTTCAGCACTAGCCAAGATGAGGATTTCGTTTTAAGGGGGGGTTTACCTTCGTCAGTGAAGTCATCACCCAAACATAAAATGAACTCCGGTGCCTTCCCTGGGGCCGTGCCATATTCGTTGACCAATCGAGTAGCGATAAATCCTTTGTTCACAAAGGTTGGTCGAACCTCTAGATTGGCCTTGCCTGCCATGACTTCCACATCCCACCGTTTGGCAACGGTATCCTCCAAGGCCTTTCGACACTCGCGAGCCTGGAACGCACCGTACTCTGGGTCTGCGCGACGATAATGCCAGGTCAATGCTACCCGTTTCCGTTCAATGAATGAACCTTGTGTTCGTTCTGTGTAATGTTGGAAAACATCAACTACTTCCTTCTGCCATCCCATGTTGCTTCTCTCGGCCAAGTTCTCCCAATCTTCAGATCCGGGCTTTCGGATAAAACAACCATGCTCAGCACTCAATCCGAGCTCTGGGATATGGCCCATCCACTCGTCCAGGAAAGCCTGGTCCCGTCCACTAATGATCCATACGGCATTGCGTGGGTCGGCTGATAGGCTCTTCAGAGTACGGAGTACCCGATCTGAAGGAATGGCCGCCTGGGGATCCTTGACAATTGGTGTCAATGTGCCGTCGTAGTCGAACATGAACAGTCGTCGGCGAGCCTTACGATACTGCTTCATTAGTTTTGCGCGATCGAGTGCAGGTGTAGCGACCGATTGGTCAAAGGACGAAAGGTTGGTCAGTAGGCGATTGAGGTACTGCCTGGACCACATAGAAACCGTGTTGGTCACCACGTGCTTGTATAACTTGAGATGTTGCTCCTTCCGCTGGTCGGCTGGCATATTCAATGCTTGATTGATCGCTCCAGCCACCCCAACCATATCCCATGGGTTGATGTGGATGGCACTGGGCAGGGTGCCCGCCGTTCCGGAGAATTCAGAAAGAATCAAAGGGCTGTGGTTGGTCTGCTGACAGACAATATATTCCAGACTCGTTGTGTTCATGCCATCTCGCACCGTCGTAATCAAGCCGACATCAGCAACACGCAACAGAGCGAAATACTCGCGCGGGGATAAGTATTGCGGATAGTACTGGACGGGCGAGAAACTCAAAGAACCAAATCTTCCATTGATGGTCGAAACCAAATTGGATATTTGGCCAGCAATCTTGTTTTCTGGGTCTTCCTTCTCCTCTTCCACGCTAGTGGGACTCGTCACCTGGATGAGCACGACTTTGTCACGCCATTCCGGATAGCGCTCCAGGAAAATTTCGAATGCTTGTAGCTTCTGCGCGACGCCGCGAACACTGTCCAGCCGATCGCGGCCGACGATGATTTTCTTTCCGGCATAGAGCTTGCGAATACCCAACACAGTCTTCTCGATATCTGGGGCCCCAAAGGCAGCCTTTTGAATCGAACGTGCGTCGATGCCAATGGGGAAGACATCTACTGCAACATGGGCCCCATAGGCATCAACCCCGGCAGAGTTCGACTCAAAGCCTAAAACACGCGTGCAGCACGAGGTAAAGTGTCGCGAGTAGGAAAAGGTTTGGAATCCAATCATGTTGGCACCCAGGACTCCCTCCAGAATCTCCTTGCGCTTCGCAAGACACCGGACGAACTCGCTGCTGGGGAAAGGCGAATGTAAGAAGAATCCCACGTAAATGTTCGGGATACGTTGCCGCAGCAGACTGGGGAGGAGGAATAAGTGGTAATCATGAATCCAGACCACGTCTCCTTCTTGATATTCCTGCACGATGCGATCCGCAAACAACTGGTTCAGGCGCACATAGTCGGCCCACCACCGCCGCTCGGATCGGCCATCTGTCGGGCCATGTTGCTTGTAGTGAAGTAGAGGGTATAGCTCACGTTCAGCATAACGACGCCATCTGCCTTGGTCTTTCAACAGAATAGTCTCTTCTGGTTCTTCTGATGCATCCGACAACCACACAGGTAATACCCGGCCATGACGACCCGAGCTCAATTGTTCATCGAGTCGTTCTCGGTCCTGTTGGGAGACACTGATCCCCTCCACCAACGGATGTGCGGGTGCCTTCTTGGTTCCATCCACGGGGACCGGTGCGGCAGCCTTGTTCAATTGTTGGTTAGCAACAAGGTTACTGGGGGTTAGTGGTGCCTTGACTGCAGAATTGGGATGTATTTGCTGCAAAGGTGATTTCACATCCACATCAGGCTCGACCTCTCCGGTCCAGCCTACCAATGTGTGTGACCAAGGGGTCTCATCCGATGCAAGATGTGCGAATGAATCGAACAGCGCTGAAGTACCGGAGCGCGACTTGAGCGTCTGTTATCCAGTCAGTCAATACTATCTTCCAAGTAAAAATAATCATCCACGTACCCAGTCTGACCCCGATCGAAAGTTGAGCTTGTATGGTATGCAGAAAGCGGCGCTGATGAGGCGGCCACTCAAATGAAGTCCCGGGTGTTGTGTGCGTGGATCGGTCTCAGGGGACATGGGAGAGTCTGAAGTCAAGCTGAGGCGGCGCAGCAAATCGACGCCAGATGATGCTGTCCCTGCAGTCTGTACTGGCTGGGGCTTGGTCTCAGACGGGTCGGTGGTTACAGCTTTGGTCCCGGGGAGATTGTCAAAGTATGAAGGGGCCTCGTTCGACATCTTCTCTAGACTAGGTGTCGCATTTGTCGCATCGGTATATGCTTCATTTTTGAGAGCCTTTAATCCAGGCCCAACGAGGACAGGGTTTGGCTGGTCATTGGGTACCTGCGCGGGGCTCTCTGGTTCGGACATGACGGGCAGCCGAGTAGCGCCTATATGACGGGAAGGTCGAGGATGAGATCCGATGTGTTTCAATTAGACTGCTGGAGTTAGGCTACAATTGTCACATGCACCAACATCCAGGGAAACCTTGGACATCAGTGGGTTGGGAATGAGGAGATGATCAAGAGTACATACCTCGGGGAGTTAGGATTGAGTCGATAAGCAAAGTTCAAGGGGGTAAATGGACTATCGCAAGAAAGCCATGGACGATGTAAGGAGGATAATCAAATCAAAAAAACAGATAGACTATAGGTAAGGAAAGGAGGAACAGAAGATGGTAAGGATGGAGGGGCAAGCGGTGAAGTGAGGTTGTCTTATCGAGAGTTATCGAGTAATCGAAGGAAATGGCCTGGAACCGATTAGACCACCTTAAGGTGAGATCTTCCAGGTTCATAGATTCATGCAATATTCATATAGAAACTGTTTTAAGACGAAGATAGAGAGAGAGAGTAGGGAGGGGGAATTTGTGGATATTTCCTCAGTGCTACGTCATGTATGCATTTCTTTTTCTTTCTATATTGCATATCATATATATAGTATTCCGTACGGAGTATATTGGGAGGTGGTAGGCCGTACTTTTATATACTTTGGATCTATATGAAACATTTGATACATTGGAATATACTGAGATAGAGATTATACATAATATATATATTATGGTATATATATATAAAAAACCAATCTTCCTGAAATCCCGCTGTAAATACTCCCTTGTCACATGGCTGTTTCTGCCTGAGGCATACACCCATCGAATAAAGTCGACCGAAAATAATCTTGGGATGCTGCATGCATCCATGGATCCTCGGCATGGTGACATCCACTCCGGTGTTCTATTTTGCTCCCTTTAAATGCCCTAATACTGTTATGCAGCTTTCGAGCCGACCTTTACGCATTCGTTCCTCTCACCTCTTTCGCCCATTCCATAGCTCCGTTGCAGCAGCCAAGACTCCCGTCTTTGCCAACAGCCTCCGAAAAACCCTCGAAGCCCATCGGTCCACCAATCGGTCTCGTTTGATCCGCAAGATTTACCCAATTGATAATCCCGCAGGACTCTGGCGACCTAAGATTCCACCTAAGAGTCGCGCCGACTACCAACCACCCGCGGAACCAGCGCTGCCGAACTCGGAATATTCACCTGATACTCCTGATCCGGTGTCTAAAAGACGCCAGAGAAAGCGCAAAAGTCATGTGGATATATCATCTCACCAATCACTCATTAATCGCCATGGAGATGGTCCGATTCAACCTGCAGGAACAGGTCGTCCGTCACAGAATCCATGGCTGAGAAATCTGGAGCTGCCTCGTGCCAATGCCGAGATCACTCTGGATGCAGAAATTCGAGCATTGGATCGATACCTGGCCCCAAGAGCCCAGGAACAAGATCGTGTAGAGAAGCTCAGGATAGAGGTAGCTTCACTCCTCAAAGCAGTGATCCCGCATGCCCCAAGAGTGATTGGATCCCACTGCACGGGTCTTGTACTGGCGCACTCCGACCTTGACTTCATACTACCATACGAAGACCTTCCTAGATCACTAGAACGTGATCGAAGACCGAGTCCCACGCGGCCTCAGATCCAAGTTGCTCACATCCGCCTCCTGCGTCAAGTCCAAAGAACTCTCCAGCACACCGATACATTCGGCGATCATGTCAAACTATCTGACAAGCGAAACCCCTCGCTATCCGCTCGCCACCGGCCGACTGGACTGTTGCTAGAATTCTATTGTGGCGAGGGTATCCCTGCGATCACGGAGTATCTCCAAGATTATCAGGCCGAATATCCTGCCCTGCGGCCGCTGTACGCAGTAACACGCACATTGCTAGAGGCGCGTGGCCTCTTTGGCTCGCCGCAGGCGAGCATTGGACCTGATGCGCTAGCCATGCTCATCGTGGCATTCCTAAAGATGAACCATGGCCGGTTCCCTGGGCCCAATAACTTGGGCAACCAGTTCCTTGCTCTTCTACAATTTTATGGCACTCAGGTTGACCTCCGGTCTGTCGGGGTCGCCGTGGATCCCCCGGGACTTTTTGGCGCAGACATGTTACCTGTAACCTCCGATGCCGATGAACCTGCCTACCAGCGTGGTCAACGTTCGCTGATCAGTTCCAAGCGGACCGCTGCGGCGAAGCGGAATTTGATTGTTGCGCAACGATTATGTATACAAGACCCTACTCATTACATGAATGATCTAGGCCGGTCGTGTACACGGACTTTCGAGTTGCAGAGTGCATTTGCAGCTGCGCATCAGCAGCTTCGTCACGCATGCGATGAATGGGCAAGTGGTGGGCATATTAAGAGTTCAAGTGTCCTTGCCACTACTCTACAGGCTAATTTTGATGGGCTAGAGATCGTGCGCAATAAACTCGCGTACCTCTAGTTGAAGGAAAGAAAGTGTAATCTGACGGTAGATCGAGCAAAGCTGTTAATCAAATTAATATTCCCCTATCGGTCTCATCAACACATGTAGAATTTGCCTGAGGCAGCAGGTACTCGCATAAGTACTCGGAGTACCTCGTCTATAGTTTTGATGTCGGATTCTCTTTGTGGTCACTGAACAAAGAACCACCTTGATCTCGTTGTTCCCTCGGTTTCTACTCATAAATCCAGGGCAGTTCAATTTCCTCTTGTGAGTTTCTTCTTTTTAAATTTGACAGCAAAACACAAAAATAACGCTGAAGGCTACATTTTTACTCGGTCTCCAGGGTGTGCCCAGTTGATTACTAAGTCTATTTGACGCGGACGCGACGCGACCTCAGGACTATCAGTTCGTGGGGGTGGCCGAAAACCGCGACAATCAGCTAAGACTGACGAGTCTGCTCGCCATGCTAGCTACTGGCTTTGTTTGATAAGTATTTCTTCAAATGCCATCCCGCAAGCGCGTGCAGGTGTCTCCGGACTCCGACGAGGAAAGCGATGGGTCCAGCCAGCCAGCCATGAGTTCCTCGGTACGATTTCAGCAAAATATGAGTTTAAGCAGGACTAACAGTCACAGAGAAAACGACAGCGGATGAATTCAGATAGCTCAACGAATTCGGAATCTCCAACCCCTGCTAGCGCTGTTACCAACGCCGCCGATTCTCTTCTAGCCGTCAACGACGATGCGCTTCTCGACGACGAGGACGAGCTAGAGCTCCGCCAGACTCAGCTCATACAAGAAAAATATTCGCATCTGATCGACGAAGCCAATGTGCCCGCCGAACACGGAATTCTCGAGCGCGTTGAATGCTACAATTTCATGTGCCATGATCACTTCTACGTGGAGTTGGGCCCTTTGATCAACTTCATTGTTGGAAAGAACGGCAGTGGTAAGAGTGCAATCCTGACAGCGATCACCCTTTGTCTAGGTGGCAAAGCCTCGGCGACAAATCGTGGCCAAAGCCTTAAGAATTTCATCAAAGAGGGCAAAGAGAATAGCACAATCATCGTTCGCATCAAGAATCAAGGCGACGGTGCCTATTTATCGGACGATTTTGGAAAAACCATTATTGTCGAGCGTCATTTCTCCCGAAGCGGCACCAGTGGGTTCAAGATCAAGTCAGAGAATGGGCGCATCGTCTCGACTAAAAAGAGCGACCTGGATGCTATCACCGACTACTTTTCTTTGCAGATCGAAAACCCTATGAACGTACTCTCTCAAGATATGGCCCGTCAATTCTTGAGTACATCAAGCCCAGCTGAGAAGTACAAATTCTTTGTCAAAGGCGTCCAGTTGGAACAGCTTGATAACGACTACCGGCTGGTGGAGGAATCCCTTGACTCAATTGAAGAAAAGCTCAGAACATCGTCCCAAGACGTACAAGTCCTCCAAAACCGAAAGGAATTGGCCAAGAAAAAGCTCGACATTTCTGACCAACACGATTCTCTGAGAAGACGGATCAGAAATATCCGAGGCCAAATGGCTTGGGCTCAAGTTGAAGAGCAAGAAAGAGTCAGTCCCACCCCACCACCTTTTTACTGATCGACTGACAAGACAGATGGAAATCTCACTTACCGAACAAATCTCCGAGGCAGATCGGAAAATCGCTGAAGCCGAGTCTCGCCTCACTCGGTTTGATGCTGCCTTTGATGGAGTCGCTGCGGAGGAAACAGCCGCAGGTGAACATTCCTGGAGAGCTGCCGTTGCAGTGAATGAGGCCCAAGATGAAAGGGACAAAATACAAGAAAAATTGGACGCTGAGATGGCCGGCCGGCATGATCTACAAGTACGTCCTTCCAGTCAGCATAAAACCCCCTCCCTGACTGTTTTTTCTAGGCACAACAACGCCAGATTAGGGACTATCTCAAAGCGGCCCAGTCGAGAATCCAGGAAACCCAGCAAAAAGTCGACGATGAGAATCAGCGTCTCGCTGATGTGAGTGATGGCGGCTACGCTCGAAAACAAGAAGAATGTGAACAAGCCGCCAATGACGCTTCTGCTGCCCAAAGGGAATACGAGGAGCATCGGCAAGGTGCTGCCCGCTTACGCGGAGATGTCGAAAACGCTGAGAGAACTTTGACCGAAGCAAAAGGTCCTCTCGTGCAAAAGAAAAATGAGATCAGTCAAGCGGAGCAACAACTTGGAAATCTCACTAGAGAAGGGGGGTCGAGGCAGTCCGGTTTTCACTTTAAAATGCCTGCGCTGCTCAAAGCGATTGAGCAGGAAAAATCCTGGGAGTCGGCCCCTGTCGGCCCCATTGGCTACCATGTCACTTTGCTTGAACCAAAGTGGTCGTCCATTTTGGAAAGAGTGTTTGGTGGTACACTGACCAGTTTCATTGTTTCGTCCAAAAATGACATGAAACTTCTTTTCGATATCATGCGACGAGTTCAGTGGTGAGTTTGACCAGAGGTTCATATTAAACCGAAGCTAACCTAACAGCAACTGTCCAATCTTCATCGGCTCTGGTGGCCATTTGGATACCTCGGCACACGAACCAGACTCCCAATACAAAACCGTGTTACGAACGCTTCAGGTACCGACCCTCGCCCCTTTCATGGGTTATGGGATGTGCTGACCTTTCAGATCGATAACGAATTGGTGCGGCGGCAGCTGATCATCAACCATGGGATTGAACAAATGCTGTTGATTGAGGACGTCAAGGAAGCATCTGCTGTACTATTCGACGGTACACGACCAAGGAACGTTAAGCGTTGTTACTCTATTGATCCAAAAGATCGACGTCGAGGACTCCATCTTTCCTACAGCCGAGCTGGAGAACCGAGTCAGGCTCCCGTTATGGGATGGACCGATGGCCCGCGCATGAAATCCGATGTGGCCTTGCAAATCAAGTACGCCCCCTTCCTTTGATCCTGTGACACTGGCTAATAGCTCTAGCGCACAACGTGACATTATCGCCGACCTCAAACGCCAACAAAAAGACATCGAACAGTCATTGGTAACTGCCAGTTCACGCGTCGAGGCCTGCAAACAGGCACTGGACCGACACGGAAGAACTGAGAAAGATCTGCAAATTCAAATGCAAAGAATGGAAGATCATGCCGAGGGACTCAGAGACGCCCTGGACAAAGAAAACGCCGAGGATGGACGCATTGACGCCCTTCAGGCAGCATTGAAAGAAGCTGAAGATGATAAGAGGCTCAATGAGGGATCATACCAAGATAGTGAGGCAGCCATGAAAGCCATGTGGCAGACTCTCAAGGAAATTCGGCGGGAACTCTCCGCCAAAGACGCTGAACTTGGGACCCTCCGAGAAAAACTACAAGTTGCTGAAAGCGAGCAAAATCTTGTGAAAACGAAACAAGCCAAAATCCTTGACGAGAAGAACGAAGCCGTGAGACTTATTGACGAAGATAAACAGACCAAGGCTGCAATCGAGGCGAGAAAAGAGGTGGTAAAAGCACGGGTTATTGAATACAATGAAAAGGCCAACTTGGTTTCTTCTCGAGTTCCCGTGGATGAAGGAGAAACACCCGGCAGCCTCGACAAAAAGCTTGATAAACTAAGCCGTGATCTGAATCGTTACAACTTGGAGTATGTCTCTTACAGCTTATTGTTTGCCACAAAACTGACTTGTCAATAGGTTGGGAAGTTCTCGAGAGGAAATTGCTGCTGAGGCAACCAGGACTGCAGCAACCTATGATCGAGCCTTGCAACAACTTGAAGAGTTTTCAGCCTTGAGTCAGGTAATTACCCTTTGTGTTATTTCTTTTGCTTTCTTTGGTCTCTTTGGCCCGGTCTAACATTTGTTTAGGCTCTGAAAGATACCCTCCAGAACCGTAAGAAGAGATGGGAGATCTTCAGATCCCACATCTCGTCTCGGGCCAAAGCCCAGTTCACCTATCTTTTGAGTGAGAGAAGTTTCCGTGGTCGGCTTTTGGCGGACCATACCAACAAACTTCTGGATCTACAAGTAAGCCTGTTCACAAAGGCATTGGGGGAGAGGGCCTGATGAATGCTAACTACTGCCTAGGTTGAACCTGATATTACCAAAGATGATAGCACTGGGAGAGGTGCAAAGACACTGTCCGGTGGAGAAAAATCGTTCTCGCAAGTTTGTCTGTTGTTGTCTCTCTGGGAAGCCATGGGATCACCAATCCGTTGTCTTGATGAATTGTAAGTTTTCTTTACATTTTGATTTGTTGCCATGCTGACCTTACCAAGTGATGTGTACATGGATCATATCAACCGAAAGATGGCGATTGACATGCTTGTAAGTGCCACTTCTCCTTCCTAAGGACGACCACTGACTGACAACTGTTCTAGATGGTTGCCGCTAGACGATCTATTGGGCGACAGTTCATTCTGATCACACCTGGTAGCAAGACTGATATCACCATCTCTGCCGATGTCAGGGTGAAGGAGTTGGCAGAGCCAGAGCGTGGCCAAACGACCCTAACCTTCCGGCGCTGAAATCACCAATTGTCCGTTAAATTTTATTTGTAGCGAAATACCCTTGAAGATATGCCATGTTTGAAAATTTTCTCCTTTTAAGACTCTCCGTACCAAGTACAAAGTACATCCATATGCAGTTATATGTAACTACTAGTAAATAGTAGTGAAGTGACACGTGACCATACCCAGTGTGGAACGTTTAGCTTCACTCTTTACCTCAAACCTCTTCGCTCCCCGCCATCATAATCTCAACCTCTCCTACCTCATCTTTTCTCTTTTGCTCCCTCTCTCTTGTCAACAAATCTGGTTTCTACCATTCTTTATCCTGTGAACTCTCCCAGCTTTGGTATCAGAGATATTTCTTGGTTCCACACAGAAGCTTCATTTCATTGAATCATTGAATACCCGATCTCCCCCGTCCCCTACAACCTAACTTTATTGGTTTTGACGAACATCCTCCTCTCCTCACATTTCCATCTCAAACCTCTTCTGAAATATTCCTCTTCCAATTTCCGCGCACATCCTTTCACACACACCCACCCTTGATCGCAAACAAAATCGGTCACCTCACTTGCTCCCCAACTCCTCAGCACCTTATCGTCACAATGGCCGACGCGCTTGCTGCACAACTCGGCAATACTAAACTGTAAGTCAATCAGGTTCGGGGGCCTGGAATAAATCTGACTTGACCAGGGAAGCAACCTCAGAGCAAAGACTGCAGGACACATTGAATCTCCCCCCCAAAGATGCTCGCCCACAAACTGAGGTGAGTATTTCTTTGGTACCAGTCAATCTCCAAAATACTGACTCTGAATAGGATGTCACTGCTACGAAAGGCCTCGAGTTTGAGGACTTCTACATCAAACGTGAACTCATGATGGGCATTTTTGAGGCTGGATTTGAAAAGCCCTCCCCTATCCAAGAAGAGACGATACCAGTTGCCCTCACAGGCAGAGACATCTTGGCCCGAGCTAAGAACGGCACTGGAAAGACCGCCGCCTTTGTTATTCCCACCCTCGAGCGCATCAACCCCAAAAGTACAAAGACCCAGGCCTTGATCTTGGTCCCCACACGAGAGCTCGCCCTCCAGACATCACAGGTCTGCAAGACCCTAGGAAAACACCTCGGTATCAATGTCATGGTTACCACCGGTGGAACTGGTTTGATGGATGACATTATCCGGTTGAATGACCCTGTCCATATTCTTGTGGGAACCCCCGGACGAGTACTGGATTTGGCCAGCAAAGGTGTCGCTGACCTGAGCGAATGCCCGACATTTGTTATGGATGAAGCGGACAAGTTGTTGTCTCCCGAGTTCACTCCTGTCATTGAGCAACTTATGTCCTTCCACCCCAAGGATCGCCAGGTCATGCTCTTCAGTGCCACTTTCCCTTTGATTGTCAAGTCATTCAAGGATAAGCACATGCGCAACCCTTACGAGATCAACCTTATGGATGAACTTACCCTACGCGGTATCACCCAGTACTATGCTTTCGTCGAGGAGAAACAAAAGGTTCATTGCTTGAACACTCTCTTCTCTAAACTTCAGATCAATCAGTCGATCATTTTCTGCAACTCTACCAACCGGGTTGAGCTTCTTGCCAAAAAGATCACTGAGCTCGGCTATTCGTGCTTTTACTCTCATGCTCGCATGCTTCAGCAGCACCGTAACCGAGTCTTCCATGACTTCCGCAATGGCGTATGCCGCAACTTGGTTTGCTCTGACCTATTGACTCGCGGTATCGATATTCAAGCAGTCAATGTTGTGATCAACTTTGATTTCCCGAAGAATGCGGAGACCTATCTTCACCGTATCGGTCGTTCGGGTCGTTTCGGACACTTGGGTCTCGCCATTAACCTCATCAACTGGGAAGATCGGTTCAATCTGTACAAGATTGAGCAAGAACTAGGCACTGAAATCCAGCCCATCCCTCAGAATATTGACAAGAAGCTTTATGTCTATGATTCCCCCGAGAACATCCCTCGGCCCATCTCCAACCCTCCACCTCAGACTGGAGCTGGATCCGTGAACATGAACGGAGACCGTCAACCTCGTCGGAACAACCACAATGGCCAACCGCATAGCCAACAACACGGTCAACAACAGGGCCAACAGCAGGGCCAACAGCATGGTGGACAACCCGGTCAATACTACAATAATCGGGGACGCGGTTCTTACCGTGGTCGTGGACAAGGTCAACGTCGTGGGCCACAAAATGACGCCAACCGGATCACCTTTGGTCAACCAAATCCGGGTCAACCTCAGGCGCCCATCTCTTAGGCCCAAACACGCCCGAACAACCCTTTTTTAATCGCTGCGCTTTGGTTTCCTGGATTCTCTTATTCTATTCCGCTCTATCTTCGAGATCTTGCCGGGCTGTCCTGGCATATCTGGTCATAATGATACGGGAGTGCAATGTATCATATGTCTTTTCCGTCCCGGTCCCTTGTCCTATGAGTTGGATCCTTGACGAAAATGCATTTCCGGCGCCTACGCTTTACGTTTTTCCGAGGCTGTGGTCTGTGTTTCGGGGATTTCCAAGGCAAATGGCGTTCCACAGGACAAGCGTCTCATGCGATTCTTTTTTTTTTACCCAGGGGGGCTCCCTCTTTTTATTTTCCCTACGCAACGAGTGATGATCTCACCAACTTTTGGTTGGCAGCCTGGAGTCTTCCCACCAACCATGCTTAACCCCATTCCCGTCTACACTCAGTTTGTGTGATTACCGTTAGAGACACGGTGAACACCACTCTCTCGCCCTCAAAAAAAAAAACCCACAAAAAAAGAAGAAAAAAATGGAGGAGCACTAGTTGCTTAACGGATCTAAGTAGATTCAGCTAGTGAATTGACAATAACCCTCTAATTTGGTCCACTGTAATAAGTTGTAGGATTTGTATTAACCCAATGTTCATATATGTTATATAATATAATGTATATATATATGTATATTATATACATGAATGAGTGGTGTAAAAGAGTTGGTCTCTCTAGCTAATTCTATCCTAATCCAACATCGACTGCGGTAATGGCACGTGCCGAAGGCCGTATATCGCTGGATCTCCGAGGTTCGGCGACTACAATTCCTCCAAACTACCCAAAAGGAAAAATGGCGACGGTGAATAAGGATCAAAAGCCAAAGGTTCGTTCTCCAATGAAATAATCTATCCTGTTTGAAGCTCACCAATAAATAGCCCAGCGCCCTTCGCTCCATCCTTGCGGGGTCCACTGCCGGAGCCGTGGAGATCGGTAAAGAGCTCAATGACCCCTACCAGGCCACTAGCTAACCGTATACTGACAGCGATCACATACCCGGCCGAATGTATGACTCTTCGAATGTCTTACAACAATTGTTGCTAATCATATGCAGTTGCGAAGACCCGGACTCAACTCAATCGCCAGCTTACCCAAGGCCAAAAGCTACCATGGCCACCATTCGGAAGCCAATGGTATGCAGGATGTACAACACTGATTATCGGAAACTCACTCAAGGCTGGAATTCGTCCGTCTACCTCCCCCATTGTGTGGCATTGTATGGGCCGCCGCTGATACATACTAGGATTCGTCGCTTTCGATGCCATAAAATCGGTTCTCCAAGATGAGAACGGCAAGATCTCAGGGCCAAGGACGGTTATTGCTGGATTTGGTGCTGGATTCACCGAGTCTCTTTTCGCCGTCACTCCCTTTGAAAGCATTAAGACTCAATTGTAAGTTCCCGTCCTATTTCTGGCGGGCTCTACTGACCAAACTATAGGATCGACGACCGGAAGTCTGCCAACCCTCGGATGCGTGGTTTCTTGCACGGTAGCAAGCTCATTTTTAAGGAAAGAGGTGTCAAGGGCTTCTTCCAAGGCTTTGTGCCCACCACGGCAAGACAGGCCGCCAACTCGGCAACCCGATTCACAGCCTACACAACATTGAAGCAGTTTGCAGAGGGTTATACAGCGCCAGGCGAAAAGCTGGGCACTGCAGCCACCTTTGGGATTGGTGGAATTGCAGGGCTCATCACTGTGTAAGACTTGGTCCCTGAATCAGATGAGACAAAAAAAGACAAATCCAAACTAACATGAATCAGTTATGTGACTCAACCATTGGACACAGTCAAGACAAGGTTAATATCCCCACGTGCTAATGAGAGATGGAGAGATAGAGAGATAAGGTACTAACGATGTCAGAATGCAATCACTCGAGGCCAGCAAACATTACAAGAATAGCATCGTTTGCGCAACAAGAATCGTCAAGGATGAAGGTATCTTCACTTTGTGGTCTGGTGCTATGCCGCGACTTGCGAGATTGATCATGAGCGGAGGAATTGTGTTCACCATGTTTGTGGCCGACCCCCAAGTCATACTATGAAAGTTGCTAACTGCTGGATAGGTACGAGAAAGCTATGGATGGGCTGGATATCTTGGATCCGGAGCGAAAGTATTTGTAGAACATCAATAGACTCGGTCCTTATTAGAATACATGGTATATCTTTTGTACATGAAAAGAATGACTCTCTGCTATTTACTCTTTGTTTTTGCCATGTCCTCGGCAACCATGGCCTCAACTTCACTATCAACCATCCAGGTCCGCACACTGTCCATTACAGTCTCCAAACCATCACCACCATCAAGAATACCATCCAGATTGTGGATCGTGATGCCTGTGCGATGGTCGGTACAGCGACTTTGACCAAAATTATAGGTTCGAATCTTGTCGCCTCGGCCCATTTTGGCCACACCACCCAGTATCCCTCGTCTGAGTTGCATAAGCTCTTGCTCGCGGGCTTCTTGCCGGGCTTCGGCCAGCTTTGCCCGAAGCATCTGCCACGCCTTTCTCCGATTTGCCTGCTGGGATCGTTCGTCTTGCATGGAGACGACCGTATGCGTGGGGATATGGGTCAGTCGAATGGCGGACTCGGTTTTGTTGACGTGTTGGCCACCAGCACCTCCGGCCCTCATCTTTTCAACCCGCACCTCTTGCGGGTCAATATAGTAGTCGCTGTTTGGATCTTCAAAGTTCAGGGCACTATCCATCTCACTGCCGTCCTCTGGGAAACTCGGCAAGACCATTACGCTAACGGCGCTGGTATGAGTACGACCCTTGGTCTCGGTTGCAGGTACTCTCTGCACCCTATGTACCCCTGATTCGGTCCGTAATATATCGTATGCACCATTGGCCTCAATTTCAATGACCGCTTCACTGAGACGGTCGTCCGACGGGCCGACCTCTGTGTCTTGCTTCAAGATTGTTGGGCGGAGGCCCCTTCGGGAGCAAAAGGCAACGTACATCCGTAACATTTCAAAAGCGAACAAGCCTGCTTCATCTCCGCCTGCGCCAGGTCTGATTTCGAGGAGGCAAGGAAGGTCTGCAAATGGATGTCGAGGAACGAGAGCCTTCTTCAGTCGGTCTGATATTGTAGGCAAGGCATCGCGACTGCTTTCAAGGTCTTCTGTTGCTAAAGACCGGAGTTCGGCATCGGTGTTGGGATCAGTTAATAGAGATTTGAGCTCGACGATAGACTGGTAGTATTAGTAGAGCTCCAATAAAGGTCTCCAAGGCGCATACATCGTTGGCATTGACCCATTCTTTCAAGATATTTGCAATCGGTGCTAATTCCCCGGCTCGCTTGGCGGTTTTTGCGTCAAAGGACTCTCCCAGTCGTTCTGCAAGCTTGGTATGTTCAGCTGCAAGTAGACGTGCTCTAGTTAAAAGAGCTGGAGACAAGGTGGAATCGGATGCTGCAGTCGCAATTAGCATTTGATCGGAAAAGTAACCAAGCTAGTCTTACTGGTATGTACACCTCGCAAAGGCGACAATTTCAGACCAAGCCTAGGCCGTAAGATACTTTGACATATTGACTTGACGAGCATACTTCGAGTCAGAGTAATGAAGAGATCCAAAATTCGGAGCGAAAGCAATTGGAGATAATTCGATGTCACATGACGGTAACGGAACAATACGAGGCGTAAAGGCCACGGAGTATGCACATGCGCTTCAATCCAACTTCGAGTTCCTTGTCTCCAACGTTGTTCTTTGCGCTTTTACCATTTTTATTTTTTCTTTGGATTATGTCCCTCTTCTTGTACTCCTAGGGAGACTCATTCTGCCACCAAATCCCTCATTTTACACAGCCAATTACTACATCGTTACTGCGTCGCATACCTCCAAGATGTTCGTTTCTTTGGAATCGCTCACAGCCTTTCTGGCTTGTCTCTCGGCTGGATATGCCCTTCAGATTTCCTCGGATACACCTCTCTCTGAATTAATCTCTTCCGCCAAAGCCCACCTCGCGCAGGGCTCACCCCGAGATGCTGTGGTATACTTCGACGCCGCTGTCTCGCGCGACCCAACCAACTATATCACTATCTTCCAGCGGGGCGCGGCTTATCTATCCATCGGCAGAAACTCACAAGCCTCGAGTGACTTTGATCGAGTTTTAGAGCTCAAGCCGGACTTCGAGGGCGCTCTTCTACAACGATCTCGTTTGAACGCACGCTCCGCGCACTGGCAAGAGGCCTTGCAAGATCTCGAGCGGGCCGGAAAGAAGTCAACGGATGATTACAAGGAATTGGAAGCCGCACGGGATGCGGCAACCTTGGCTCTCAATGCCGAAAAGCAGGGCGCCTGGGAGACGTGTGTCTCGGAGGCAAATGTAGCCATCCTAAAGGCAAATACGGCACTGTCTCTGCGACAAACTCGAGCCCATTGTCACTTTGAGAAAGGCGAGACAGAAGAAGGGCTTAGTGATTTGGCACATGTTTTGCAAATGTCCCCGAGCTTGGTCGAGCCTCACCTGCAAATGTCTTCCATGCTCTTCTACTCTCTAGGAGACAGTGACCGTGGCCTTGCTCAAATCCGTAAATGTCTCCATACTGATCCCGACTCAAAACCGTGCAACCGTCTCTATCGACGTGAACGGAAGCTTGCCAAACAGCTAGAAAAATTGCATACTGCCCTGGGGGCACGCAAATTCAGCAACGCAGCAAATCTCATGGTCGGCGATAGTGAATCCACTGGACTGATTGCAGAAATCAAGGCCGATGTTGAAGAAGCAAGACAAGCTAACCATATTCATCGCCTGGCACCCGATAATCTTTACACATTCCTAGTCGAGAAGACCTGCGAGGCTTACCGTGAAGTAAGTACCCACCGTCATATGGTCATATGGCTTGGTTTTTCTGTCACTAACATACCCAGATGCGTATGATCAAAAAGGCTGGTCCTTACTGCGCCGAAGCTCTCCAGCTGGTTCCTCACTCGCTTGCCGGGCTCCTGTATAAAGCCCAGATCGCTTTGGACGAGGATCGATTCGAGGACGCTATACGTACACTTGAATCGGCCAAGGAACACCACCCCGGCTCCCAAGAGGCGCAATCTCTCCAACAAAAGGCTCAGACCTTACTCAAGCGTTCCAAGCAGAAAGATTACTACAAGGTCCTTGGTATCAGCCGTGATGCAGATGATCGGACGATCAAGCGCGCGTATCGCCAACTAGTGAAGCAACATCACCCTGATAAGGCCAATGCCCAGGGTGTAGGCAAGGAGGAAGCAGAGAAAAAGATGGCGGCCATCAATGAAGCCTACGAGGTTTTATCCGACTCCGAACTCCGGACACGGTTTGACAACGGCGACGATCCCAATGATCCTGAATCGCAACAACGGGGCAGTCAATTCCAAGGCAACCCATTCGGTGGCGGTGGTCAACAGTTCTTCTTCCAACAGGGTGGTCCACAATTCCAGGGAGGGTTCAAATTCCCTGGTGGGTTCCGCTAATTGAATTGTCTTTTACTATGTGAAACACATACCAAGGTGTTCTTGGAGTCTCTCAATATAGAAAATGGATTGTTTTCGTAAGGTCAGAAGTCATTCTATTTGATTTTGACTCGAAAAGAAAGAAAAAAAAAAAAAAAAAAAAAAAAAAACCAATTTCAAGTGCATCTGTAAAATAGAACGAGAGAAAATTGTCTGAATTCGAATATCATCCGTGTGGAGCATCCGTCAAGGGCACATAGCTCACCTGGAAGACTTTCTCCTTGTGAATAGATCCATCTTCCTTTTTATCCACCACCCAGATATATTGGCCACCGCTGAGACCATCCATGGCACTGTCGTCGTCTTCCGATTCCACTGGGATGAAAAGTCTCCCAGGAGCACGCAACTGATCGACCAGGGTTGGATGAAGCTTGTCGGCCGCGGCGCCAACATGGATGGCATCGTACGGTGCACCTTCTTTCCATCCAAGGCGTCCATCACCGGTGATAAACTTGACAGTAGTGGATGCCTGGAACTCACTACCTTTCTTGGACTTGTTCATGTTGATACGAGCCATTTCTGTTAGCTCGGGGATATGGTCAATACCAATCACCTGTCCCTGGGCGTTGCCGGATGGGCTAGTCACCAGATTGGCAAGGACATGGGTCAAGTATCCTGAGCCAGATCCAATATCCAACACCCGAGCACCTGGTTTGAGATGATCAACCAGATACTCACATGCATGGCCATGCATGTGGGGTGCTGATATGGTGGCCCCATATCCAAGAGGTTGAGGAGAGTCCGAATACGGTCGTGATGGAGCATAATGGGCTCGATCAACCTTGGTCATATGTTAGAAAGGACATTGAATCAGATAACAATCAATAAAGCTCACTCCCATCATTGCATCTTTCACACGCTCATTGTGGATCAGTCCAGCCTTGAATAGGTTCTCAATCAACTCGGTGTTGGTGGATCCAGAACAATACCACGCCATGGTCATAGCCCGTGCTTTACTAAGGCTAACTTTTGGTTTGATACATAGACTCAGCATGGGCTGGAGGAAGTTTTTTGGGTGGGAGGAGGTTGAGTGTAGGAGGGGAGGGGAGGGGTTCCTGTTTGTGTGGTTAATTACATAGTATGTACATATGTGTGACTCTCATTTCTATACGATGTTATATATAAATGACGCCATGATATTCACATTCACCGCACGTGACACCCATACCAGTTTTCTACAGTTAAATCTATATTGTTCATGTGATATACCATATATAGAGATATATATCCATATATTTAAAAAAAAGAAATAATGTATCCCCAAATATATTAGAAGTTATACTTCTGTAGAATGATAGGATCGAGTCACGTGAATATGAATATCAAAACACCCTGGAGTGGTCCGATATGAACTAATCGCAACTAAACGCGACTAATCGCGCCGACTAAGCGTGTTGACACGATCGCCGTGGGAGACAGCTGCACCTCCAGGGCACCATGGACCCCCTTAGGACCATCCACATACCTTTCAATTGATACCCTCTCTCCCCCAGTGTGGACTTCAAAATGGCGGAACCAAGCCCTGCCGTTCATGCCACCGTGGACCTGATGATCCTCGACTACCTGGTTTGCCTGTGTATTAGCGGGATCATAGAAGCAATTCATCAAGCAAGACCAACCGAAGATATTGAATGGTCTGCTCTCTTGGTTGAACGTAAGCATCAGAACTTCCCAGCAACAGATGATTCATACTGACTACAGCTCTAGAATTCCACCGGCGGCTTCTCGGTCATCGTCTCGAAGGCCCCTTGCCCTGGGACCTGGACTTCAAATTGCGCATCTTCTACTTGTCCAATCAATTTCTCCACTGGGACCCTCCCAAAGATCGTGACCTCGGTCACTTTGTGCCCCCTGTCTGATATTGCAGTTCAATTCATGGACTTCTGTCACTCTGCAGTTGCCCACGTATCCCGGAGACGCTGGTTCGACCTTGGTGCCCACTTCATGGTTCATGCGATTCTGGAAGAACAAGTGCGATTTCCAGACCAGCTTCACAGATTCTGCAACTGGAGAACAAACGACAGTGAACTTGATATATGGTGGGAGGTTAGCCGTACCATGTTCCTGGAGTACATGCCACCCCCATTTGGTACTGCGGCTCCAATGAGCCGAGAAGAGCTCGATGAGGTGTGGCCTCTCCAATGGCTACAGCATCGTTACGTCGAATTTTTCGAGGATCTCATGGAGGTCCTGGATGCGCCCCTCCTTCTTCAACTGGAGCGTGGTCAAATGGAAGGCTTGACCGAGGAGGAGACACAGTGGATTCGAAACTATTGTGGAATTTGATATTCCTGCGTAATAAAAGATACGAGAACATGCCATCCCGTGTGCTTCTTCGATGTGTAATGATTCCAATTCAAGCAGCCACATGGGGGGGAAAGCCAGCGCCGTGGATCACACGGACCACGAGTTGTCTAAAGTGCAAATAGCACATGTACACTAATTCGATCTCCATATTGATCGTTCAATCTCAATCAACTTTCAACAGCCGATAAAGATCGAAAGCGACACGCACAACAGAAGAATGGTATAGAAGAATAGTACTCAGAGCCCACTATAAGACCTGTCCTGGACATGGCATTTATATCTTGGAACATAATAATTTACAAAGGGCGCAAGGCCGCTCCAGGTACGAGAACATAGATAATAAAAGGCGCGTGACAAAATACTCATGCTACCTAGCCAAGCAGCATGCGCCGGGGGTCCTCGATGTACTCCTTGACCTGTGATGGGATTAGTGATTGATTCGGGTGGACGAGAGGGTAGGCATACCTTGACAAGGAAAGTAACAGCCTCGCGACCATCTAGGAGACGGTGGTCGTAGGTGAGAGCCAAATACATCATCTAGAAACATCAGTAAACCAAAGAAAAAGTGACTTGGTTCGTCTGTACATACGGGACGGATTTCGACCTTGCCGTTCACAGCGACAGGCTTGTCCTTAATGGCGTGGAGACCCAAGACAGCTAGACACAATTAGATGCGAACACTAAAGATAGTACAAGAGAACTGACCTGTTTGGGGGACGTTGATGATTGGTGTACCCATCAGCGAGCCGAAGACACCACCCTGGGGCAAGTTAGCCGGTGTTATTCTTAAACACGAACACAAATATGTGGGGGGGGAAGCTTACGTTGCTGATGGTGAAGGTACCACCGGCCATGTCTTCAATGGTCAACTTGTTGTCACGAGCCTATTACAGGTCAGTAAACTGGACATCCCCTCCAGAAAAACAATTACTCACCTTCTTTCCGAGATCGGCAATGGCCTTCTCGATTCCAACAAGATCCTTGCCTTCAGTGTTACGGACAACAGGGGTGACAAGACCCTTCTCGGTGGCGACTGCAACGCTGATGTCAACGTAGTCGCGGTAGACAATGGTGTCACCGCCGTTAGGACCCTCAATGGAAGCGTTGACAGCGGGGATATCCTTCATGGCAAGCACACAAGCGCGGGAGAAGGCGCTCATGAATCCAAGCTTCACGCCGGTCTTCTTGAGCACATCGTCCTTGTACAGTTTCCGGAACTCCATCAGCGAGGACATGTCAACCTCGTTGAAAGTGGTAAGAGAAGCGGCGGTGTTCTGGGACTGCTTCAGGCGTTCGGCAATACGCAGACGCATACGGTTCATTTTGACCTAAACCAAGAATTAGTTTGAAGTCAAGGTCAAGGGTATATTGGCAGTCAACATACCCGGCGTTCCTCACGGTCACCAAGAGCTGGCTGTTCAGCGGCTTGGGTCTTGGGCTCCGCCTTAGGAGCCTGCTTGGGGGGTGCAGCCTTCTTAGGTTCGGGCTCCTTGGGCTTTTCGGTCTCGGCGGGAGCGGGCGAAGCATCCTTCTTGGGCTCAGACTCCTTGGGTTCGGGCTCCTTAGGCTTCTCGGCGCCCTCGTCCTTCTTTCCACCTTCGGGAGCGCCGCCAAGCTCGATCTTGACGAGATCCTGGCCGACAGTAACGGTATCTTCCTCATTCACGAGGAACTCCTTGATGGTACCAGACTCCGGGGCATTAACCGAAACATCAATCTAACAACAAAATGTGTCAGCGACAGAACCAGTCGCGAGGGGGTGGGGACAGAGTTGTTGGTATTTACCTTGTCTGTTTCAATTGTCGCAATCTCCTCGTCGCGCTCGACAAAATCGCCAACCTCTATATACCAGAATAAGCAAATGTCAAATGTTCAACCACAGTTAAAGCACCATACGTTTTGAGAACTGCTTGAGGGTACCCTCTGTAATCGACTCAGCCATACTGGGGACCTTGATGATGGAGTCGGCTAAGCACTATTAGCAATTGACCAACGAGACTGCTTAAGAAAAAGGAATTACCATAGGTGCGAAGTTGGTGGCCTCCTAGAGGAGCAAGGTTGAGTCGCGAGACATTGATGCTATAGGGCTGTATGAGCTAAAATTGCGACGGATGGTAATGACATAGATACTTACCCAGAGGAAGAGACCTGCAGCAAACCCGAGGCTGAGCGAGCTGAAGTCTTGCGCGTGAGAGTAGACAATCCCTTGATATTGCGGAACTGGCTTGATGCCCGAGGAGCGGTTTTGGCCACAGCCGAGAAGCGCTGGCCCGAGAGGCGCGCAATAGAGATTCGGGAAGCCATGATGAATTAAAGCAAAGGTTACTCAGCTGGGGAAAAAGCCAAACCGGGTTTGTAAGAGGGGAATAAAGCTTCAACTCTAAAAATTAGAGGAAGCAAAGAAGATGAAGCTCGGATTGGATCGGGTTCTGAGGTAAACCGGGCACCCTTCCGGCAGAGGCGGACTATTCTTCTTACACTACGGCGACGGGAAGAGACCATTCAAGCAGTTTTTAAGGTACGGGGACCGACAGTGACCATTGGAGCAAGTTTATGCTGAACGAATTAGGAAGCCCAGAATAGTCAACCTGACGACATTGAAACCCTCAACCCCGACCCATTGCCCACCAGGAACCCTAACAACCCCAAGGTTGTCATTTCTATTTGATAGACCAGTGCTATCAACATACAAGCTTTTTTTAATTTTTCTTCCCCTGTTCCAGCTGGCCGGAATTGGACCCGGGACAAAACTTGAGCACAATGTCCACCTCCGCTGTTAAGTGAGTAGGTCGATGTCTCCCTAGTGGACTGTTCACTGATCTACTATAGGTCGCTCTACCGGCGCTCTCTGAAACTGTCTCTTGACTGGGCTGTCCACCGACAGATCTGGCGTGGACAAGCCGTCTATATCCGATCCCTTTTCGAAGCGAACAAGGACGTCCGCGATCCTCGCCAGCAACAGGTATGCGACACCAAAAACCCATGAGTAGCAAACCTGACACATGTTCTAGGTTTTGCTGCGCGAGACAGAGAAGCTTTTGGTAACCTGGAAGCACCCTGACCCATACCGGGCACCTACTGCGCCCGGCGGCAACAAATGGGAGCGCAACCTGCCGGCCCCAATCCTGCCGTGTACGTTTACATCCACATGCAACCTTTTCTTTTTCTGGGATTTACACTAACCAAAAACTAATACAGATGCCCAACCTCCCGGTGCACACTAAGTCAAATCAATATCGCAAAGGACAAAATAAGAATTTGGCCAAATGCAAACATGAAGTATGCAATATAAAGTATGCGTCTTTCCGCAGATGTAGAGTACCCAAAGCAGAATCAAGAAGTTCGTTTTTATGTACAATAGCCAACCCCCAAAGGGCAAGTTGGGAAGAATACCATTTATTTGTACAAATGTATGTACCAAGTACGAAAGGTAAGTTGGTAGATTTTTTTAACACTTGAAAGACCTGGAGTTTTCATTGATTTGGGCTTATACCCAGGGCTAGTATCCGAAAGCTGAAATCCCTCAAGCGAGTTAAGGTCGTCGGTATCATTCCATGTCCGTAGACATAATGTACAACCAGGAAATTGATGAAAAAAGAGAAAACGCAGAGCCATAACGTGCCCGTCCCATAACCCCATTATCGTGTCAAAGAACCAATCCGCGCCGGAAAAGAAAACAAACAACCCGCGAAAAAAGAGAGAACCCTTACAGCTCCTGGCTACCCTTGCCGGCCTTGGGAGTCTTCTTGGGAAGAAGGTCTGGAAATAAGGTTAGCCTATGTTGTGTAGGGAAATGGGCAATTGGTTGGAGATAACGTACTCTGGTGGATGTTGGGGAGAACACCACCCTGGGCAATGGTGACGTGACCCAGGAGCTTGTTCAGCTCCTCATCGTTGCGGATGGCAAGCTGGAGGTGACGGGGAATGATACGGGTCTTCTTGTTGTCACGGGCGGCGTTTCCAGCCAACTCGAGAATCTCAGCAGCGAGGTACTCGAGAACGGCAGCAAGGTAAACGGGAGCACCGGCACCGACACGCTGGGCGTAGTTACCCTTGCGGAGCAGACGGTGGACACGGCCAACAGGGAAGGCCAAACCAGCCTTGGAGGAACGGCTGAAGGTGTTGATGTCAGTATGAAACGTAGATATAGGATGCGAAATGTAAACAACTTACGACTGCGCGTTCTTGCTGCCGCTAGCCTTGCCGCCGGACTTTCCGCCAGTCATTTTGATGGTTTGTTTGGGGGGGAGGGAGTTGGTTTTGGTGGAAAAGAGAAGAGAGTTGTTTGAAGGTGGAGAGCTTGGGTTATGGTGTAAAGTCGCAAGAGCAGGTGGGAGAGCGTGTGGAAGCGGAGGACCTTTATAAGGACGCGGTGAGGGTGACGTTGGGGCAGCATCAATGGCCCTCCAGATCACGCTCTCGCTTAGACGTTGTAGCCAATGATCAATCAGATCAGACATTCCGCTTTAGGAATGGTGTGGTAATATAATTCCCTTACCATACATGACAGTCAGCTGAGCGTGGTTATACCCCACTTTTAACACCTTGAGACGCGTCAATGTCAGTTTAATCATACAGATCATACCAAGGCGTTACCGTATTGAAATTCGGCCTCCTTTGCACCCCCTCCAGGATCAACTGGCCTTTGGAACACGAGTATAAAGATGCTCTCTCCCCTCGTCACCGCGTCTCTCTAACTTACCCTTCCACATTCCATCTCTGTTTCTCAACCACACACTTCATCCATCTTCACTTTAACTCCTTCAACTCTTTTATTCCAACCAACTTTTTAAACCACATTCAAAATGCCCCCTAAGGCCGCTGAGAAGAAGCCCTCCACCGGTGGCAAGGCCCCCGTTGGCGGCAAGGCTCCTGCTGAGAAGAAGGAGGCTGGCAAGAAGACTGCCACCGCTGCCACTGGCGAGAAGAAGAAGCGCGGCAAGACCCGCAAGGAGACCTACTCTTCTTACATCTACAAGGGTGAGTCGATTCCTGAACACAACATCCCGACCAAGTGAAAACGCGTCTTTTACTGACTTTATTTCCAGTCCTCAAGCAGGTCCACCCCGACACTGGTATCTCCACTCGTGCCATGTCCATCCTGAACTCCTTCGTCAACGGTATGTTTTTCCTTCACGCAACACCAAAAGGACGCGTAAACGCGTTTTCTTATCATATCATGTTTTCTGACTTCATTTTCCAGACATCTTCGAGCGTGTCGCTACCGAGGCCTCCAAGCTTGCTGCTTACAACAAGAAGTCCACCATCTCCTCCCGAGAGATTCAGACCTCTGTGCGTCTCATCCTCCCCGGTGAGCTGGCCAAGCACGCCGTCTCCGAGGGCACCAAGGCTGTGACCAAGTACTCTTCTTCCGCCAAATAAGCGGCTTCTTTACGTTTTATTTCCAGCTTGCTTTTGTTTTTACTACCTCTTGATCTGTTATGGGCTCTGAGGTGGTCGGTTATGGGTGTTTTGCGGGTTTCTAATGCGTCATGGGATGGCTTGAATTTTCTTTTCCCCGATGGGTGATTTTTTTTGAATGGTTACCACTCGATACGTGAATGCGGTGTAACATAACTCGGGTCTGGGGCAGGCATGGATTGGCCTCCCCTACTAGAACGCGAAATTCCAAATGCTTAATTGCATTGCATCATGATTCTATTTCTTCCTGGTAAAAATTTCCACACAGATTAAAGGAGCAATCTGCATCTTCTGGTTCGTCTAGAATTCTCACTCCATCTCATCTGAATCATCCAGCGCCTCGACTTCATCCAGTGCCTCCGCTCGACCATGGCCATGATCTGACTGATATTGACTGGGGAAGATGTGCACGATGGGCTGTCCAGGCGTGGATTGGATTCGTTTCTTCCAGTCCGCCAAGTCATCTTCGTCCTTGATGAGAAATCCAATCAACATGCTGGGATCCATGTCTTTGATATGGATTCTCCGCAGTCTGCTGGTGTAATAGCTATCTAGCTCCTCTTGGGTGTACAGCCCATCTGCTCGATAGGATGTTGCAGGTCGAGTGGTATGTGGATCAAGGAAAAAGAGGTGGCAGTCTTGAGCCCCTACAAAGTAATGCGATGCAGATGGGCGTCCACTGTTTTAGTTAGCGCATACTTTATATCGGGTGTACGAACAGATGCATGGGCCTACCCTGCAATGCCAACGGATTGAGGATACGTCAGTGCAGCTCGGAGTCCATCCCAGTACGCCGGGGTGACATTATCGATTCCCAACCTGGTTCCAATCAGGATGAGTGTTGGTTGAATTCGACCTGAGCTATCGTGTGACACCTGTGCAAATTTGTCTTCATAGACGTCCGATGTGTCATTGGTTACATAGACCCTCAATTGGGGGATCTCGCTTTGGGTTGAAAGTAGTCTATCACCATCAGCATGACCTCCATTGCTCAAGTTGTGGTAGCACGCACTGGATACATTTGGCAGTTGCCGAGGGCCCAAACCATTCCCCTGGGTATTTTCCGCATGATTCTGCCCCACGGTTGACAAATTGGTGTATGGAGAAGGGAGCTTCGGGGTGATCGGCGAACATCGATATTAGCTTTGATTCTTCCTCCACTTTCTCCCCCCGGCGCCAGTCTAGTAGTATATCTGATTAGCTCTATTTTGGGGGGTGGGGGTTGTTTTTTGTCTTTCTGATGGGGCTTTTTTGAGGTGTTATTGGATGCATCTCTCACCTCGTCCTAGTAATAGAACTGAAAAGGTATTTGCCAAAAGGCTTTGTCCGGATCTGATCATGCAGCCCCACCCCGTATCTGATGTAAAGCCCTGGGGGTCCATCAGCTGACTTCTCAGACGCACCCCCAGTGTCATCGAGGATGTTGCTTCTGGTGTCTTTGTTCGTGGGATCGGTGTGAAATTTGATCGATAGGTGATCCAGACCCTCGATCCAAAATCAGAGAGAAATGCCTTTGGCCATGCTGTGTCATTCAATGTGCCAGCATCGGGCTGTCTTGGGGGGTTATGTGGGTTGCTAGCTGTATGGGGTGTTAGATGTAGGGTATGGGGTTATAAATTCACTTGATCTAGACTCACTGGTCTGGTCACTGGGTGGTTGTGGGGGGGGAATACTCCCTGCCCAGGCACCATATCGACGCTGTAGGTAAATCATTTCTGGGCTCTGGGTCCCAGAAATATTGTACTATGCGTTTGCACTTTTCCATATCCACGGTCATGGTTGGTGTTGGGTTTCTGTGGTAGATCGGTCGTGAGTATGATGATTATGGTGGGTGATTCAACATCGGAGGTGAGTAGATATATATATCCGTCTCTCTCGTAGAAGTTAACTCGGTGATTCGAACCCAAGCGATTAACCTAGATCACCATAAAAGGAACAAGTGAAAACCCCAAAACAAAAATGAAGATACAAAAGACCGACGGTAAATCCCCTGGACAATAAGTTCGTCCCTTTCTTGGGGTATGATGCCTCAGATGAGGGGGTCATCTTCGGTCACGAGCTAAGACGTCACCGACTACAAGGTATACAACAATTTACACTCGATATGTGCTCTATACTCTAAAATTGTAGTCGATTTAGCGGAAAACATATAAAACAAATAGGATATACAAAATCTGGAAATAGAAAAAAATACATAAATATCAAATTACAAAACAAAAATCGGTCTTATAGAACTTGTGATTGTTACACTTTTTGTAGTCCGTCACCGCCCGGACCCGACCCAAAGGCAAAAGGATCCCCCCAGTCACTTCCTTTCCCTCAACATATCAGATTCACCAACACACATGGCCCGTCATGGGAAATCCAAGGCCCGTACCAGGCGGGCACCGGTGGGCAGAGGTAATTAATGTGCTCCTACTCCTTTGATGAATACTAATTTATTAATTTTTTTTCCAAAAAAAAAGACCCATCGCCACACCAGTTTACTATGCAGCAGGAAGCTCGGAATACCGAAACTCATCAGCGATCATGGTCAGATAGCAACCTTCGCCATAAAGCCGTTCAATTTGTGAGCGCGGGAAGCCTGGAACCGACATTGGAACAACCAGACGAGGAGCAGACAAAATCAGACACGGACCGGGAAGAACCAAAGACCGACAATTTACAGGACAGAACGGCCAACCTCGGGGTCCCATTCGTTTTCGACTCAAAGGGACAAGAAGTTGTCCATACCGAACACCCGGACCCAGTACTGCAGTCGAACTTATCGGACATAGATGACTCAAGTGAGGATGAGGTTGTGTTCACCGGCCGTAGGAGGAATACAAAACCCGTTCTCATCGAAACGCATCCGAACGAGATTCAAGAAATCGTGCAGACCACTACTGTTGCATTTAGGCAGAAATCGCACACACCAACGTTGGCCTCCACGCTCCGGGATCCTTCGCCCGCCGTTACCCCTATAGACAACCCTGAATCCAACACAGAGAGACCAGACTGGCCACCCGAAGAAGAGACCGACCCACTAGCCGACTATATTGCCAACATCGACAATGACTACCACGAGGAAGTGAAACCTGGTGCAAAGATTGACCTGGAAGGTGGCATTGACGTCGAAAAAGCCGCAACACAACTAGACTTGTCAGGTTCGAGCCCCACAGGCTCCAAAGTTGAATCACCGAGATCATTAGCTCAAATGCAAATCGACACCGAACATGACTCGATCCCAACATCAAGCGAAGATGATGAGGACGATATGGTCATGCCTGGATCAGATGACGACACCCTTGAAGATTTCGTGCTGCTCGAGGACTTCGTGAACGGATATTCTGGGTCAACCAAGAAGACATCCCGTTATGGAAAGCCCTCATTTCCGTCAGCATCGGCACTTGCCGATGCTCTTGAATCTGACCCATATTTCGGGTTTGACATAATGGACTTCGACCGGCCAAGTCTACGGAAAAAATCCAAGGGCAAGAAATCCATCCCTGACGTGGTCCTCTCCGACAGTGAGTTCGAATTCGAGCGACAGGAAGTAGTCTGGCAGAACGACCGGAACAAAAAGAAAATGCGGAAGATGGAACGAGCAGAGCTCCGGGCGCAAGGATTACTGGGCAGAAAAGCAGGACACCCAGACCTCAAGGTCAAGTACCCTAAGGAAATGAACATGGAGGAATTTATGACCGAGATTCGCTCATTCCTTATGTCCTCTAAAAATAGGTTTGTTTTATATCTGCTCATCCTCATCGACCTAGCTAACTTCAATATAGTCTGTCCCTGCCGCCCATGACGAAGCAACGCCGGAAGCTGATACATGAATTGGCAAATGCGCTGAATTTGAAATCACAATCACGCGGCCATGGACTTTCTCGCTTCCCGGTTCTCAATAAGACGGCACGCACCCCGCGATACACACCGAAGACTATATCCAGTGTTGACGAGCTTTTATCCGGGAGGAAGTTCAACCGTCGGTTATTCAAATCATGGGGGACGGAAGTGCCGAAATTCTCCCAAGCCAAGCGGGGAAAGTCCGGTGCTGCGTCGTATATGGATGGCGATGTGGTTGGCGCCTCTGCTCCGGAAATCGGAGCTGAAAACCGAGGGCGGGCCATGCTGGAGAAGATGGGGTGGAGTACAGGCACCGCTCTGGGTGCCGCCGACAACAAGGGAATTCTGCAACCTGTCGCGCAGATCGTGAAGAACTCGCGGGCTGGGTTAGGTTAGGTGTTGGTGTTATGTTAGGAAGACGGGGAAGATTTCCCGGCATATATGTCTTGTTAGAACCATAGAAAATAGAAATGTCAAGAGTTGATGGACCCTTTTTTTTTTTTTAGGAAAAAACAGCAAACGAGCTTCACATGTATTACTAGTGTTTCCTCCCCTTCTTAGCAACAGACCCCGTCAAGGGCTGTGCGTGGTCGAGGTCTCTGATATGATTGAATAATTTAGACTTGGTTGTGAAGGGAGCCTGGCAATTTGCACAGATGAACCCCGTGGGTTGATCCGCCTGCTTCGCGGCCTTTTTCGCCCGTTTCTGCTTGGCTTTCCCCATTTTGAGAGCTGGTGACTGCTCAGTGAGGTCTGAAGATACCGGATTATCGGGTATATCAGAGGAGTCTCCGGCGCCCGTGGACAAAGAATCCATATCGGCCCGGAGCCTCGTCTCGACATATTCCCTGGAGACATAATCGTCATCGTGCGAAGATGCTGGGGTGTCTAGTTCGGAAGGGGGACTTGTTTCCTCTAGCTCTTCCTCTAGCTCGGAAAAAGGAGTTGTCTTCTCTAGACCATGTGGACTTCCTCCATTCTTAGACTCACTGTGGCTCTCCACAGACGTATCTAATCCCAGATCGACACCCGAGGCAGCAGAAACCTCATCTTCCCCGTCATCAACCTCAAGGGGTTTAGTTGGAACTGCATTCGCACTCGGGTCATCAGTGGACTCCAAATCCAATTCGTGGTTCTGCATTCGCATCTCCCAGCATAGCTGTTTGACCGTCTTCAAATGCTTCTTGCTACGTTCATGCGCCTCGAATTGCTTCTGACTTTTGAAATATTTGTGACATGCCACACATTCAAAACTCTCGACTTCACTCTCTTCGCTCTCCTGGTCTTCATCTGCCACTGGTTGTTCTGACTGGGCCCACTCGGGGAGGACATGATCCCGCATCTTGGCTTGATTCACAGCTCGTGACCTTGCAGCTTGTGCAGCCACAGACTGGCGGAGGGTTTCCTGGCGCTGAGCTTCACTTTGGGTATTGACTTTGTACCGTGGATCACGTTTCTTGACAAAAGCCACGAGGGACCTGACAGCATCGTTGAATTCTCGGATGCCTTCCTCCCGAAGACGTCTGTTCTCCTTTTCCATCATTCGTCGCACCCGACGATCAGGAGCTTCGGAATAACGATGAACATCTTTCCATGCGAATGACTTTTGGGTGGAGAATCCGGTCCAGGCGGCATAGAAGGGCCGTACGACGGTCTCAAAATCATCATTACCGGATCCAAATGATGGATATTCGATAGGATCTTGATTCTCCCACTGACAGGCCAATCTTTCTTCCAACGCGAGCTGTTCGAATTGCTCTCGCAAACCACCAAAGAATCCGGTCGGGGAGTCGGAGAATTCCATTCGAGGACTGAATTTCGAAAAGAGTTTGAGGACATCTTCGGCTGTTGTGATTCGAACGTTGTACGAGTGTTGATCATCGGTATTTCCGCTGGTCCCTAAAAATGCATCGCTATGGGAGTCGTACCATGCTCGTTCCTGGGGATCGGCCAGGACTTCATAAGCGGATTGGATTTCGGCGAACAGCTTGGTAGCCTCGTCAACATTCCCATAATTTCGATCTGGGTGCAATACAAGAGCTTTTTTCCGATATGCTTTCTTGATCCTGAGAGGTCGGACCAGTTTTAGCTATGTCCATAACCGCATATTCATGTGAACTTACTCATCATCGGTTGCACCACGGGTTATACCAAGCAGCTCATAGTAGTCGGTCTTCCGACCTGGTTGTTCTGAAACGCCCGAGCTAGCCTGGCTAGTGGAATGGAATTGGCCCATGATGTGTTAGAGGGAGAGAAAGAGGGAAAGAATGGTGGGGGGGGGGAAGTTGGTGAATACCGCAATACTCGCTCGCGGTTGAAGCCAAAATTCTTTTTTTAGTAATTCATTTCAAATATTTCCAAGGAGATCATTGGTACTAAAAGTGGGCGTACTGTCTATAAGTTCAAATGTTGTCTATAAGCAAAAGAACAGAAGAAAAACGACGTCCAAAAGAAAAGGAAAAGGAAAAAGAAAACATGAGGGTTGAAGGCTTGGCATCTTCGATAGAGAGAGATAACAAAAAGGCGGGGAGAAACATCTTCTGGCCCTGCCTTTCTACTTTTTACTTTCTACTTTCTACTATTTTCCTCTTTTCCTTTTTTCCCCTCTAACTCTCTGATCTACTTTTTAATTTGATCTTCTTCTCTTGCACTTATGAAGGAATGTAAACCGGCTCTTATTCCGTTCTAATTGCCTTTTTCTTTTGTCTTCTTACACTCCCCTCCCCAACCATCATCGATATTTCACCTTCAGGGATGGTTCGATCTCTAATCCACCTTCCAGACGAGATCCTGCATTCGATTCTATGTTATTCTTCTCCTCAATCCTGCGCTGCCATCGAACAAACCAATAGTCGATTTCAAAATGTAACGAATGAGCGTTTACTATGGCGTCACCATTGCCAGTCGCATTACAAGTTCTGGGATGGGCGACATGATATGCCCCGGAAGCTTGCATGTCCAGTGAATTCAACCGATTGGAAAGCCCTGTTTGTGTTTAAATATCAGGTTGATCGCTCTGTTACTCGGCTTCTTGATAGTATTCTTGTGAGCCAGACCGGCCGGATCGAGAAGTTTCGCCGTGTTGTCGATATGGGATACGATACAAAGGATACTCTTCTACGATATAGCCTGATAGAGTCTGGGGAGGATTATTTGGCCAGAAGGTGGGCTACTAGTTCTATGCAAGTTGGCATGTGTTTCTCTTGAATTGACCAGTGCCTTGTGCCAACCACAAAAGGTACTATGCCCACGCGCTCTTGACTTGCCTGCACCGAAGCATTGCCATTCCCGAATGGGCGAAACTCAAACGTGGAGAACCCGTGTCACTGGACAGAGCCTTGGCCTGCTTTGATCTCTTTATACCTGAAAGTGGAACTGGGGATTTGGATGAAGTAGGTTTTATCCCAGTGCAACCTCTCAACAAATCTATACCTAACTCTAATCCAGATACGAGACTCTCTGGATGAGATCCTCAGCCGCTTTGTCGCGTCTCATCCGGACCTTTACCTCTTCACCCCTCGTGAGAAGGCACTAGCCATAGCATCCTGGTTAGAGGTGAACGATCTCACAGGGATAAATCCAGAGCGGGAATATCATTCTTTGGAACATAACTTTTTAGGGCTGGCTCTAAAGGATCCAGAGCATAACTCACTGCCGTTGGTGTCAGCTGTGATATACTGCTTTGTTGCGCAGGGGGTAGGCTTAAACGCCCGTCCTTGTGGATTTCCGTTCCATGTACATGTGATCATTATCCCCCAGGTGGGCTCAGACATCAATGGCAATGCTTTGAGCGGGATGGAACCAGGGGAGCCTATTTATTTGGACCCGTTTCGGGGTGCAAAAGAAATGTCTATTTCAAACCTACGCAGCCAATTAACATTTCTGGGTATGCCCAACATGGACCAGGCCGCAACTCTGGGCGAAGCATCAACCTCGGGCGTTATCTTGCGCTGTGGTAAGAACATATTGAACTCGATTCGTGTCGAGCCTCAGAATCCGACATCCTGGGCCACTTCGGTGGACGTTGTGAGCGCAAAGTACGCAGCGCTCTGGTCCGTGATGCTACTGTCGGGTGATTCGAGGCCAATGGATCTACGCCATCAGTTGCCATGGCTCATGGAACTGTTCGCTACAGACTTTCCTTCTGATGTGTTTCTGGTCGAGGAGTACATCGCTCCTCTGTTTCATGGACTCTTCGAGCATGAGCACATACTGGAGAGCCTTCATGTGATGAAGGCTGTGGATGAGATCCCGAAACAGATTCGGAGGCGAACCGGTGGCAATGCAAATATACAATACAAGGTAGGTCAGGTTTTCCGCCATCGCCGCTATAATTACGAGGCTGTTATCACGGGCTGGGACTCGGAATGCGGCGCCGGTGAGCAGTGGATGAGGAGAATGGGGATCGATCGATTAGAAGCCGGCAGGCACCAAAGCTTCTATCATGTGCTGTGGGTTGTGCCTGTGTCCTCTTCTTGGCTAGTAGCTAACAATGGGTGCATAGTGTGGCGGATCGAAGTGTCCGATATGTGGCCGAGGAAAATATTGGAATAATTCTGCCTCGTTTCACGGAATTGCCGAGTAGTTTGACTGCCATTGCGGGTAAGCATTTCAAACGATGGGACGAGAGGGACAGAAAGTTTGTTAGTAACATGAAGGATGAATACCCCGATGATTAGTTTAAATAAACTCGGTTTTGTTCGGATTGTTGCCGGCTAGGTCTTGCTGGGGGAAAAGGTCCATTTACTTCGGAATTCAGATTAAATAGTCCTCCGTAATGACACCCATCTAGAAAAACAAAGATACTTTGTATACCAGAGAGTGGTAAGGGTGGAGAGAGAGTAAAGATATATAGTTTCTACCGCAACAGTCTCCTCCGTGCGGCCCGCACCCCATTAAATATATCTCTATCATGCAATTCAGTAAATCCAACCTAGTAACTTTAAATAATTATTACACCCTTAGTCTATATCGTAAAAAAATATATTTTTATATATTAAATAGGCAATTGATGGTGGTATTTAATCTATTTATTTGATGTTTATAAGAACTACTATGATCCCTATAATAAGGGAGATAGGGACTACTGGTATCTTTACCATCGACTAGACTTCTCCAGAACCCAATTGGACCCGGACCCAACCCAACCCAACCCAACTTTGGGTTGGGTTTTGGGGCCAAACCTTGGACCCAAGCTGGGTTTTGGGTTATACCAGATAACCCAACCCAACCCCTAGGTACCCAATTGGGTGACAAACATGATAAATATACCAAGATTCTATAGCTGTATAACTTATACATTTTGGAGCTGTAATTTTGTGTATTTTACTTTCAACTTTTGTCTCGAATTTCGACCTTATAGCTAGATCAATATAATATTATATTTCAAATTTATATATAAAACCACAATCCGCACTCCGATTTCTTAAAGAATAGATTATTTACAAATAATCCTAATAATACTCAAATATATCATCCTCTCTATATTTCCGCTTTCTCCCTAAGACCTGTATTTAGGTATTAGTCTCTAGTAGTACTAGCCTATCCTTATCTTCCTTATCCTAGGCCTTATTAACCTTATTAACGTCTATTAGGTTATAAGACCTATTATCTAGCTCCTTAGTATTACTAATAGGATCTATCTCTAGACTGCGACATCGCCCGTCCATGGGCACTAGAAAGTGTCCACGGCCCGTGGGCCTTTTGAAATTCGACGCCCATCGCCCATCCTTATGCAAAAATAATGCAAAAATTACCCTATTCGGCGATTTTATGTACATAACTAGTTCTTGGCAGTACCCACCGTGCCAAGAGTGCCCGCATATGTCTTGGCGACGCTAAAAATGTCTCCACAAAAACGGGCGTTGTCGCAGTCTATCTATCTCAATATTATTAGGCCTATCGTCCTTTTCTTCTTTTACTACTTTAATCTTATTAAGAGAAAAGAATCTTTTAAGCTCTTTCGCCTCCCGCTCCTTAAGATTAAATTCAAAGTATAAAGAAATATTATTAGCTTCTCGATTATTTCGGACTTTATACAACCGCGGCGATAATAGCAGATATCCTAAATAGTATTAAAAAGTCGCTCGACTCTAGTACTAGTTACTATAATTAAGAGAATATCTTATATAAGTATAGCGATAGTAGGAAAACGACCTTAGTACTTTTTCTAGAATTAAAGAGGCTTAGTATTAATAGGATCTAAGGCGTAGTTAGTATTATATATAGATAAATTATAATTTAAATTTAAATATACTACTATTAAGGTATTATATCGCTTTATTTCCGACTAGTTTTACCTATAATTTATACCTACTTAATATCTTACTAAGCCTCGAATTTAGCCTTAGTATAATATAAGAGCCTATCGCGCTTAGGGTATTCGATAGATACTTTTAGTACGGAGTAAGAGCTACTTAGAAGGCGCTCCGGTATTTATCCCGCTATAACTTATCCTAATCGTCTAAGAGGAAGAATTAGAACCGATTATTAGAAGCTAGTATAGTACTAATCGTATAGATATATCCTTAGACCTTATCTATTTATAAGTAGTACTTATCTAGCTTTAATCGGCTAGCTTTAAGAGATCTAAGTATATACTTTTTTTTATAGAACCCGCTTCTACTAGAGCTACTTTATTAACTTTTTAAGATACTCGAATAATATATTATAAATTTTGAATATAAGATATAAGATTATATCCCGAGTCTTTAAGATCTTAGTTATATATTTAAAGAATAGCTTAGTAAGATATAGTAGATAGTCGATTTAGCGTTATTCCTTATTATTTAGTAGTATTTCTTTATAGTTATACTCTATATTAGACTGCGGCACGATCCACAATATCCGCGGATATCCACAATCCATATCCGCAAACTGCGGATATGGATATTTTTTGATATCCAAGATCCGCAGCCTTGCGGATTTGGATATGGACCTCATGTCTATTGGATATTTGCGGATATCCAATGGATATCAAACAATATAAACATACCTAGACTCGTGACCTCGAGGGGTATGCATTAATTTTATATTTTCCTCTGTATTTTTCGTGTAATAGTATATTATATTAAATAATCAAAATCTGGATCTTTTAGGGGTTGTATGAATTTAAATCTTCTTATTCATTCATATATACTATTTATAGATCTAACTATGAAGGGCTACGGTCGAATTGAGTTAATTAAACGGCGCCTATATACTGTTTAGCTAAAGTTTAGGAGTTTTACTATATAG